GAATAAAAGGGAATGCCCTGCCACAGAGGCAGGGTGGGATGGGGGGGATGGGGAGTGGGAGGGATACTGGGATCCGTGGTGGTGGGAAATGGGCACTGCTGGAGGGATGGGTATTTGATCATTGTATAATTGAAACCCAAGCACAAAAATTTGTAAGTCTACAACTATACCTCATGATGTCTCACTAATAAAAATGAAAAAATAAAATAAAATTAATTAATTAATTAAATTAAATCAGGGAGCACCAAATAAAGGGTGTTGGGAGGTTCCTCTCAGGATGGGAGATGCATAATGAGAGTAGACTATAGACCGAACATGATTGCCACTCAATGTTTCTTTTGCAAATCACAGCACTCAAAAGGAGAGAGATAACAAAAGGGCACAGCCAAGAGAAACTTCCTGATGGGAAAGGGACAGTGGCCCTGGGGCACGGAGGTAGAGTGGCACGGGGGGGGGGGGGGGGGGGGGGGGGATACTGGGACTGGTGGTGGTGGAGAATGGACACTGGTGGAGGGATGGGTATTTGATCATTGGATAACTGAAACCCAAACACAAAAATCTGTAAGTCTACAACTGTACCTCATGGTGTTTCACTAATAAAAATTTAAGGGAAAAAAAACTTAAATAAATAAATTAATTAAATAAAATAAAATAAAAGAATTGAGCTTCCGTGTAACCTAGCAATTCCACTTCTCTGTAGAATCCCCAGGACCCAAAAGCACTTTCAAAAAGGCCCTTTTGTCCCTGTATTCCTTGCAATGCTATAACCAGAACAACCTGAATGTTTGAGTACAGGAAACTAGATAAAGAAACTAAGCTATAACTCCACATAGAATACTACTCAGCTACAAAAAAAAAAAAAAAGATGAAATCCTGCAATTTGCTGCTGTGTGGGTGGAACTGGAAGGTCTCATGGGAAGTGAAGTCAGCCAGAAGGAGAGATTCAGACACAGAAGGGTCTCTCTCATGCATGAGGGATAAAGAAACGTGGTACGGCCAATGGGAGCAGAACCGAGAACTGGTTTACAGACTAGCAAGGACAGAGCCAGGGTGGGCTTGGAAGGGTCCGGAGGTGATGGCGGAGAGAGGCAAACCCTTTGGTGGAGGGTGCAGTGGCGGACCGTTGTAGGCAGTAAACCCTGTCAGGAACAGCGCTGAAAGCATAGCGCCTCAAATAAAATTAGAAAAGAAAGGAGAGCACCCAGCAAGAGCACCTCTACTGCAATGCTGCTCTATCTCCAGACCCTCCCCCAAGTCACTGTCAGGAATGCAGGAGTCGCCACGGGGAAAGAACTCGCAGGCTGGGGTCTCTAGTGCTGGACAAAAGATTGGGCCTCGGAACCTAGAGGCAGCCCGTCCCAAGGTCACTGCCATCCTAGAGTTGCCAGGAGACCTCCAGAGTGATGGTGGGGAAAAGCCTCTCCCGGCCCATGGCACAGTCAAGAGAAACTTCCTGGTGGAAAAGGGACAGTGGCCCAGGGGCACAGATATGGGCCAGCAGCCGGAGACACAAGCTAGAGGCTCCCAGGAGGCTCCTAGGAAGCCGTCAAGCCAGGGAAAGGAACGTTAGGAACAGAGCCATGTGGAGCCCGCGTTCCGGTGATCGGGGAGGAAGGATGGACAGCAGAGACCATCACACGCAAAGAAACCCAGAGAGATGTGGGTCTCACGTTTCCTGGGAGCTGTGCCGAGAACAGTGGGTTGGGCCAGTATCAGACACTGCAAAGGGATCAACCAAGACAGGACTTGGGCAAACCCTTGGCAGGAAGTACTTCTCTCAGCTAGAGGGGCCCTACCTAAGGCTCCCTCCCTGTCCTTCACCCTGTCTGTCTCCAGAGTGTCCATGGAACCTGAGCCCTGGACAAAATCATCTGGGGTGTCTTTATGTACAAAGTCTACTTCACTCAGCAGCCATCCAGGGCAGGAAGTGGCTTGATGAGCAGAGTCCAGGATTTAGGGCGAGAGTTTCTCAGTGGACCGGTGGCACTGTGTTTTCAGCATTGTCCGTACATGTCACTTACAGTCACTTACAAAGGCAAGGCCCCTGGTAGGATAGAGCAGCTGTCATTCAAAGACAAGAGTGCATCACCCCTCTGAAGGACAGAGCTACACTGGCTAAAGGGAACTAGAAGGCACAGGCTTTCGTCTCCCACATCCTCCTGGTGACAGTATTCGCTGTCAGCCCCAGCTGTTTGGCATAATCATCCATCTAGGGTTGGGTCCATAGTACCGTTGTCACTTTGTGTCTGGCGGGCTCAGGATAGTAAAAGAATCAGTCCCTTCTGTCCCCTTGGGTGGAGATTTGAATTGACCTCCCTTTGGCTTGTTCGGATAAGGGGAATATGTTTGGGGACTTGGGACTTGTTGTCTCCATTAAATTTGCAAGAATAGAGTTGCGCATATGTCCAAAAAGAAAAAGAGAGAAGGGGAAAAAAGTGCCTGCCACCGAGGCAGGCTGGGGTTGGGGAGCGAGGGGGATGAGTGAGGGAAGGTGGGTTTCAATGCTGGGAGGGAAATTGGGGACATGGGTAGTGGGAAATGTACGCTGGTGAAGGGATGGGTGTTGGAACATTACGTGACTGCAACCCAATCATGGACAACTTTGTAACTGTGTATCTCACAGTGGTAACGGTCACGGTCCTCCCGTTGTTCATCCATTTGCTCGAGCGGGCTCAGTAACATTGTGAGACTTGTTACTGTGTTTGGCATATCGAATACATCACGGGGAGCTTGCCAAGCTTTGTTGTGCGGGCGAGATACTCTCAGTAGCTTGCCGGGCTCTCCGAGAGGGGTGGAGGAATCGAACTCGGGTTGGCCATGTTGGCTGCGTGCAAGACAAACGCCCTACCCGCTGTGCTATCGCTCCAGCATCTCACAGTGATTCAATTAAAATTAAAAAAGAATAGAGTTGTAAAGGATGCAATTTAAAATGACCCAGAAGATATTAAGATAAGCCTCCCACTACTTCAAAGGTAAAAATAGATCATCAAACTTTATAATGAAATTAAAATGACAAACTGCTTATTAACCCATCATTTTAGATCACTGTAGTAATTACACAAATAAATTTGTAAAATGGTAACACTCACTATGCCATACTTATCTAAGCATCAGTGAGCTATTGTACATATAGATACATCTGTATATTTGTACATTCTACCTACAAACATGCAGGTTTATACATACTGATGGTGTATTGTCACTCAGAGTGTTATAGTAAAACTCACTTAATTGGATGCTGAGCTCCTTAGCAAAATTGGGCTCTAAATATTGGATTGAATTTAAAAGGGAAGAAGTGTTTCTGGTAGAACAGCTGAAAGCAATCAAGTTGAGTCTTTTTTTTTTCTGTTGGAAGTCGGAGGAGGGATTTGATCTGCACCCAGCAATACTTGGGGTTTACTGTCTCTCCAGCACCATTTAATCTTACTCTTCTCTTGAGAAGAGAACTCATTCCCTCATCCCATAGTCTGCCACCAGAAAGCATCCTCAGTGCTTTATCTTGAGATGAAGATATTTTTACCTTTCCCTTGGGTGCTGGGGAGCAGGAGAAAGATCCCAGGATGGTGGGGGGAGGGTAATTGGGGTACAAATCGCTGCTGAAAAGGAGTGTCAGATTATGCGATCCTTCACTGTAACCACAGTGTGGTCGGCCAGTTTTGTTTCCAGAGAAAATATTATAAATGACCACAAAGTGGGTCAGTCTGAAAGGTCCATACTGGGGATTTAGGAAGCATACTTTCCGGTTTTGTTTTGGACTGTTGAGGGGCTGCACCTCACAGTGCTCGGCGACCAGCAGTGTTCGGATGGTGCTTGGGGCCCGCGCATTACTGATGAACGAGTCTAGGGCCAACACCCACAAGCCTGTGTTCTGGTGCTGCGACACTTCAGGCGGCACCTACATCTCGCTCTCACACACGTGTAGAATCTGTGGTTGATCATTACAGTGTGGCTGTATGATGATCTTGTGTTTTGCATTTGCTCCTGGTCTTGCGTAAACTATGCAGTCATCACATGTAGCATGTTGGTTGCCATCTAAGCATATGATAGCTCATTCACGTGCTTCTCTGTGAAGTTGGAGCAGGGATGCGTGGCCAGCTGCCTTAGGCTCTCACTGCTGGGCTTAAGCTTGGAGGTGAGGGCATCGATCTGTGGCAACCTCGCCTAGGCTGTCCCCTCGCTCACCCCTTTCCAGACCTCGGCGCAGGGTCCTGAGGGTCTCAGCTCCCCGTGGGAGGAACCAGACAAGGTGGGATTAGAAAGACAGAGTAACCAGCTGCCTTCACCCCCTCTACAGAGCACTGGGGAAAAAATATCAATGCAATAAGTCAAATATTGTTGTCCTGTTCTGCATCTTCGCCCATGCCCCTGGCTCTCCAAGAGGGACAGGTGATTTTCTGAGAAGAGGTAGCATGGTGTCCGAGGCTCCACAGAGGCCAGGTCCCATTGAATGGGGACAGAAGATCCTCAGAGCACTTGGCCGCCTCATTCGGGGTCCTCCTGGAGAGAGCTGGGCCATGAGTGGCTAGTTGCAGGATGGCAGGCATGAATGTACCCTTTTTTTACACTTTTTTTCTTGTTAAATCAAATTATTTTTATTTTTTGTGTCTATTTTTTTTAATTTTTTATGCATGCTGAAAGTAGACTATAGATCAAACATGATTGTCAGCCACTGCCTCTTTTGCAAACCACAACACCCAATAAGAGAGATAGAGAGAGAACAAAAGGGAATGCCCTGCCACAGAGGCAAGGTGGGATGGGAGGGATGGGGGGTGGGAGGGATACTGGGATCAGTGGTGGTGGAGAATGGGCACTGGTGGAGGGATGGGTACTTGATCATTGTATAACTGAAACCCAAGCACAAAAATTTGTAACTCTACAACTATACCTCATGATATCTCACTAATAAGAATGTGCCCCTTTTAACCCAGTCCGGGGCCCTGGAGAGGGCTTGGGGGCATGCACATCAGGGACTAATTTCCGGTGGTTCTTCTCCCCCACAGCCGGCTGCCGAGACTCCCTCATCCGAGAGCTCCATCACTTCAGGATCCTTGGAGAAGAGCAGGTGAGTCCGCTCCCCAGATCTGACCCCACCTCACCCCTCAGACACTGCTCCGGCTCTCCAGGGGAGCCCCCAAGTGTCTCCTGACAGTCTGCCCAGTTCCACCCGATTGGGATATATTCAGGCCCTTCCCCCCCCCAGGTTTGAATTGGGGGGGGAGTCACTGCATTTCCCTGCGGCCTCACTCCTGGGTGTGATTGAGCAGGGGGCCCTCATGCAAAAGAAGCCCATCCAGCCTGCCTTCTGTGGGGTCCCCTGTACCTCACAGCTACCTTTCTGGGTGCCTCAGAGAGAGACGTCGTAACACAAGAGCCGCTGCTCTGATTGATACCCTCACATCCTGCTCCAATACTGACACCTTCTCTTCGGACTTCTACCATTATTGGCACATGGTTTCTGCATTTGTTTTAGAGCCATTGGGTGATGAGTAGGGAAAGAAGTCAACCCTACTCATCCCCTTAGATTTGCATAAAATTCAGACCACTCTGTTCTCAAAGTTTGTTGAGCCGTTATCCAAATCAGTAGTGCCCCTAGGAGACTTTAGAAAAGGCCCTTGTGCCCCTGTATTCCTTGCAACGCTATTCACAATAACCAGGATAACCTGAATGTTCTAGAACAGGCGGCTAGATAAAGAAACCAAGCTAATACTCCACATAACATTAGAATACTGTTCAGCTACAAAAAGGATGAAATCCTGCAATTTGCCACTATGTGGATGGAACTGGAGGGTGTCATGGGGAATGAAATAAGCCAGAAGGAGAGAGTCAGACACAGAAGAGTCTCTGTCATGCACGAGATACAGCAGCCAACGCCATTACTGCAATAGTGACCTTTACTTCCTAAAATCCAACATTCCCTGCCCTCCTGTTCCTTTCAGTCAACAGATACCTACTGCACACCTACTGTGTGCAAGATCCCATCCTCAGGGGAGGGGTTAGAGTGAAAATTCCCTCTGAGCCTCCCGTTCTAGCTGGGAACTATAGGTTATAACATACACACGTGAGCATGCCCAGTGGACGTTGTAGGCTATCATCATATGGAGAAAAGTCAAACCAAGGGAGGGCCATGACTGCAGGGGGAAATGGCGGGATTTCCCAGGAGCTGGTGGATATGGTCTCCCTGAGCAGGTGGCTTATGGGGAGAGAGCTGAGTCACAAGAACCTCACGTGACATCTCTGGGGAGCGACAGCCATAGACAGAAATGCTGATGGAAGGATGGGGTGGACGAGAGACTGTCGGGCACCAATCCCATGTGGACACGTGCTTATTTTCAGCAGTGCACACCTGAAGCTTGCTGTAATGAGGCATTACCACAATGGGGAAAACGTCATAAAATAATCTTTCTAAAGAAGTTCTAAAGCAAGTGCTGATGCCTGGCCCATTCGGGGTAGTCCAGAGGTCAGTGTGGCTGACGGACAAAGGGCTGTAGACAACGAGGCTGGGGGGGAGGAGCCCAGCAGTGTCCTCTGGGGCTGGAGGAAGGTGGGAGCAGATTCCACTGAGTACGACCCAGAGGCGAGATGGGAGCTGGCCACTGGGATTCAAGGCCTGGTGGTCACGGGTGATGTGGACCCTCCCACTAAGGCAGGTACAAATCTGCCTGCAGTGGGATCAGGGGAGTGAGGAGATGAGGAGTGGGAGGGAGAACATAGAAAGAACTTCTTCTGAGGAATTTACCCACGAAGGAAAGTGAATGCATGAAGTAACCAGGGGTGATACGATGTGGAATCAAGAAAGACATTCTGTGGGATAATGCATCACGCTATACGCTGATGGGGATAGTGTAGGAGGCAGGTGAGGGGGTTTTATTTTGACCACGGGCAGGAACAGTGCCCTGACATGTCGTTTGTTGAACGGGGCCCTGGCCTGAGACAAGTGGTACAGGGAGGGGGAAGCAGGCTCTGAAGAAAGAGCTTTTCCATTTGTTTCTCTCCCTCAGTGCACTGAGAAGGAAAAGCATCAGCTAAGAGGAAGAAGGAGAAGTCTGCAGAGAGGGAGAGGACAGTGAAGCTACCGTTTAGGAGGGTTGGGGTGAATGCATGACAGAAATGCAGGAGTTTCAAAATGGGGGAGAATGAAGTTGTAGAATCACGTTACACGATGATGACATTTTTGTAAATTTGAGCTAAATTTTTCCTCATGAAATTTAGAACTATATATTGATAATGGATATATATATGTCTATTAGTTTTTTTTAACGTATTTGAAATGAATTGAAAAGACACAGCAAACTCTATAGGGTTTCTTGTGAAGAGTGAAGGGGATGTGTGTGGAATGGGAATGGGGTTGGCTTGAGATATATATAAACATCCTTTTCTCAAAAACAGAAGACTATGAGTAAATATATCATTATTAGACAATTCTGGATTGTGGTATATGGATATCGTGTCTTATTTTTTGTACTTTTCTGTATTCTAAAATTTTCTCACAAAGAACGGGGGTGAGGATGGGAACACTGTACCTGTAGAAATTAAGTTCTAATGGAGTCATTCCCAATTAAATATTAAACTTTTTGTAGAGATATTTCTAAAGTTTTATCATCAATGAGTGGATGGAATTGTTCTCTATGTAATATGAAATTATCTATTTTATTAAAATTAAAAATGATAGTATAATCCAAAAAAAAGAAAGAGACGCAGGAGTTTGGAGTGAGACCAGTTTGACCTCACATAGGTGCAGATCCAGAAGGGGCCATTAGGTCTGACCAGTTGGAGACTGCCTCTGGGCTACAACACAAACAGGAGCAAGGCCAAGGGAGGGTGGTGCTGGGGTAGTCAGGAGGTTTCAGCTGGGCAAGCTGAGAGGGGAGAGCAGGGAGGAGGGAGGGATGGGAAAGGAGGTAGACCAGTTGCACAAGCCGGGGGTGCATTCAGAGCACTGTTAGCATGTGAAAGACAGGCAGGGTTAGCTGAATAGTTGTTAGCAAAGAGCAAGACCCTTGGTGTTGAGAGATGTAAAAAGTGTGGTGGCCTGTGAGGATGGTGGGGTCCAGTGTTGGTGGTGAGATGACAAGGTGATTGTGTGGACACCTGAGACCAGCCAGAGGTATCACCAGACTCGGCTAGGAAAGAGTGAGCTGCCAACTGAGCTTTGAGAGGTGGAGGTGGGTGGGTGGGAGGGAGCCAGCCTGGCCCAGTAACCCACGGTGAGAGGAAAGGAGCAGGGTGGAGCCTACAGGTGTGGGCGTCAAGGCCAGAAGGTTCTGGAGGGAGAGGACAGCTGTGGTCATGAGCCATGGCCAAGCCAGCATGTGGGAGACCCTGGGCACTGCAAGGGGTGCCAGGTCCCCAGGCAGGAGCCTGTTTCTCTGAGGAACAGAGGGAGCAAAGGGAGAGAGGTGACATGAGGGGACATGGCCATCAAGGGAAGATGGCACAGTGGCACTCTGCCTTCCGTGGGCCTGGGGTCCCCTGAACCCCACAGAGTGGGCTCTAACAGTGCCTTCAGAGGGCTGAGAGCATCTAGAGAATGACAGATGGGAGGATGTGGAAACAGCACCTCAGACGATAGAGAGCCAGGGGAGAAGGGAAGGGCGGGCAGAGGAGGAGCACGGGGCAAGGCCACAGCGAAAGGGCACAGGGGTGGCAGCCAGGCTCCCGCCCGCCTCTGGGGAACTCAAGGCAGACATTTGGTGAGAACGAGGAGTCCCCCTGGGCTGCTCCTCAGGGCCATCATCCAAGCTTACCCACAGCCCTGCCCTTGGCAGAGCACCCAAGAAGGGGACCCATAGGCAGAGCTTCCAGAAGTTTCTGAAGTCATGCCAATGTTGGAAACGCCTTCCAGATTTTAAAAAAAAAAAAAGAAAAGAAAAAAAGACTGTCGTGTGGGAGCTGTCTGCCACCTGCCAGCATCTCTTCCTAGGAAGCTCTGCCCGGGTCATAGCACAGAAAGGCAACAGACAAGCCCATTGGGTTTGACTTCCTTTCCAGAAGATTCCACAGTGGCTGAAAGTTGAGCTTCTTGTTTTTGACACCATGTCATTTGAAGCGTCTGACAAAAAGAAAACTCTTCATAAATTACAATGCAGGGTCCTGTCTGGGACTCTAATTGCACTGTAGGTGATGTCTGCTGTGTTTTCCCCACTCAGCCGACATCCACCCTCCTGATGACGGCCTTCCCGTGCAGAGAACAGGACGCCGTCCTTTCTCTAGCTAATTTGCTTCATCAGTCGGTGACAGATGTCCAGGGATGAAAAGCACATTATTAGCGGCAGAACAGAGTATACACACAGCATCCTGGCTGCTCCCGCCTCCCCTCAACTGCCACCAACTGTGTGGGGGAGAGTTCAGAGCAGGGGAATGCTGCCTTGTCCTTAAATTCTGATGTGCATAGGGCTTTTCCTGTGGAGTGTGTTGGGGGGGGCGGTGGGGGAGGGGGAATGGATTAATCACAGTTCCTATTCTCCTATTAAGTGCTTCTAGATTTTTCAGGCCAAAGAGGTAAGGGTTAAGGCCCTTGGCTTGCATGCGTTGGCCCTGTTCCATCCCTCACACCCCAAGATCCCCCCCAGCACAGAATCAGGAAATAGCCCTAAGCATCTCTGGCTGTGCTCCTCCCCCCCCCCCAAAAAAAAATAGGATTTGGAGTTTTCTGATGCAGAGAGGAAATGCTGTGACAAACTGATCATAAAATAAGAGCGGGGAATAGTGAGCTGAGATTCTCTAGTAAAGTGGAGGAAGGATGCTGGGGTAAAATATAGTTTAGCCAGCACTGCTCTGAGCCACAGCACCATGTGGTCCCATCAGCCTCACTGGGCGTGGCCTGAGAGCTACCCCAGCACTGTACTGCAGGCCCGGTCAGCGGAGGGCACCCAGGAGTGGACCTCAGCCGCCTAGGCCTGCAAAGGACTGCATGGAAGGCCACTCTGCAATAGTAGGAGTGGGGTGGGGGGAAGACACAGAGAGGCAGGCTTGTGTCAGACAAGGGTGGTGGGAGGAAGTGGGCCCTTGAGGCCACTGTCGGTGGGTGGGGTGGGTGGGGTTCCTGTCAAGGCAGGACTGGGC